GCGAATACTGTAAGAAGAAAAATAATGAGTAATTACACTGAAAGACAATTAAACAATGAGCAGCAAACAATACAATAAAGATAGTTATGCAAAATATAATTAAATTATTTTTTCTCTAATTTCTTTTCTTTTCCATTTTTCTTTTCTATTTTATTTTTTTCCTTTTCTTTCTTAGTTTTTATACTATTTCTTTTTTCCAATTTATAGAAAAATTTCAACTCATTAGTAAACAAATAAAAATCACAAATAATGCTAAATAGTCAAGAAGAAAAGCAAACAAATCAGTTCAAAGGTCAAGCTATACGAAATTACTAAAAATTAGCAATCAAAAAAATATTAATTACATTCATTCAATTTATTTCATGTTTCCTTTTAACATATATCACTTTTCTAAAAATGCATATCCGTTTTCATTTCCATCTTAAATATTATTCATATAGTTGAATAATTATTTCATCCTAATTAATAGGTTTATTGAACGCACCAAAAAAAGGACAATATCCGGAATATCCGAGGCAAGACAATAGGCTATGTTACTAATATATTGATCAGTTATAAGAGTTTAAATTCCTCAATTGGAAGCTTGAAAAGGCTTTATAAAAAAAATTCAGCAACCACTATTTCATCTAACTTTCCAAGTAATTAACTATTAAAATCCTAATGTAATCAGCTTCCACCCGATACTGCTTCGGAATGCTTAATAATTCTTTTATGTTTACATCACGAAGGCCTTCAAGATTCAACGAACCTTCCTTGGGTACGATACCAATCGCACTTTTTTGTCCAATCGACTCATCACCATCCAGACGTCTTATTATCCATTCAATTACTCTAATATTTTCGCCATATCCTGGCCCAGGAAGTTACCATTTGCATCACGACGGAACCAATTAACATGGAAAATTTTTGGAACCTATAAAAAAAATTTTGAAAAATATTATGATTTAATCTGATTACGGGAATTGTACTAGATCTGAAGGATGGCATATTAGATCATGATAAACCAGAATCATACAATAATTTCCAGAGTTCAGCTCAATAAAAAAGTGATAAATAGGAATGATAAATCATTTAGATCCTGTTTTATGCATACATTCCATTTTTGATGTTCCGAACTCGCGAAACTTAGAAATCCACAGAAAAATGGTCATGTTAATTCAGGTTAGCTTCTGTTGTAATAATCCTTTCGGATTTTTCTATATGCTTTAAACGTCAGAAATCCAAGGTAACCTTATAAAAGAATTACTCGAAATACTTTATATTCCAGAAAATTGTTCTAAATTTTTTCGTTTTTCAATTCGGGCTATACGGATTACCCATAAATGATTACCCATAATAAGGTGCTTTGTTCGCCATTACCTACAAATGGTAGATACTCTTTGATCACAGGACGTTCTTTGTCTTCATGGCTCTTGGTATGATTACACAATGTTAAAAGGGCTATATGATCGCTCGGTTATCATCCTCTTGTCTGTCTATGTTGAAACGATTCTTTGTTCGCTATCAATTTTTTCTATCAAGTGATCTCTTAACATCACTTTCCTCTACACCATGACTGTCCGTTTTACTGCGAACAGCACCAAATACCGGCCATCTCGAAAGCAATATATAAGTACTTAACAACTAACAGAGTCAATTTTTTTCTACCCATAAGCTGTAAAATTTGTTGGAACTATGCTTCAGAGTGCAGTCCCAACTTCTTTCACGAATCTAGCGAGGGATCGACTTAGTTGATATATTGCTGATAATTGTATTATAACGCCAGGAATAAAACTTCTCCAAATCGACTGCCTTCACCACAGTTCGAACCAAATCCAAATCTCTCACGTAAAAATTTACAACATTTAAAAACAATTTTAAATGACAATCTTTATTGAGATTCAGCTAATGTTGAAGATAATTCCCAAAATTATAACCCATAAAAGGTCGCATTGCCATCGGATCATGCATCACTATTTTATTTTGAAATTTAGCTGCAGCTGTATATTTTACCACTTTTCACAACTTTTCATTCTGTATTAATTACTGTATTTTATGCTTTATATATTCTTTTTTTCAATTTTGCTATATGTTATATTTTATGTATTATATTTCAAACCTCGTCTGAACATACGATATTTCATGTTTTTGATTTTGAATTCTGAATTATGAAACATATTATACTGTAATGTTTTATTGCCGAAATTTAAAAAGCCTTATTTCATCAAAAAGCAGTATTCTATGACGTTATAGTATTAATAGTTAAAAAATAATGAATTAATTAAAGCAAAATATTTAAAACAATCAATTTCAATAAAAGTGTACAGTTTTCGTTTTGGATCAATCAAAAAGCAATGATAATAGAAATTAAAATATCGATTGCATTAAAAAAATGGCTTACTGAAAGCCTTGAAAACCTGTTGGCGTTGAAGATTTATACGAATAATGCTTGAAAATTATAATAGTATTTCGAATGTTAACAATTTCAAAATAGTTATTGTGAATATTCTCCGAATGATTTCATTCTATCCGAGGTTGAAGAGATCTGGTGACAATTCTGAACAATGCTGCCAGTTATAATCACATTTGCATAAAACTATCATTATTCACTGCAACTAACAAAAAATTTTAGAGCAGAGTGAAAATTAATATGCGAAAAGACTGAGGTTTTATGATTATATTTGGTCATAGATCATACGGCTTACCGGAATGCATAAAAGGAATGCATAAAAACGGTCCTCTCAGTTAATACGACAAAATCATTCATTAAATTGGTCTGCTAAAAATATTTTTCGAAAAGAATACGACTATTATCACATCCCGTCATTCTCGACCATGTATCTATCATACTATTTCGTATTGCTTGTTTTGCCGTTATATGTCGCGCAAATAACGGTATGTGAATAAGATATCGCTTTCAGTATAGAAATTAAATATTCATAAAGTTTTTAATCTCAGCTAAGGACAAAAACAGCTGCTTTCTGTGAAGGAAAATTAAATTTTTCATTTTTAATCTATTTCACTATTACATCTAATTAGTCGAATTAATCCGTGATCAATTCCTATAGCAATAATCAAAATCAGAAGCAAAAGTTTGCAAATTGAATCACTGAACTATTTTTGTTGCATCGATTTATTAATCTTTCTGTCTAAATCAACTGTCACAATATAGCACAACTGACACTTTTTTTCAAAACATTTTTCACCGAGCAATTCGCAGAACCATTTTTAAAATGTAGAAGTAACTTATTGCCAAATATTCTACATTCAAATATTCTACAGTGATATCTGCGCAATGTGTGATTATTACTGTTCAAAAATCACCGAAAAACAACAAGCTAACTATAAACCAATGATTTTGGGTTATTTCAGGTGTCAAACGATCAGCCAATACAAGAAGGAATAGAAAATAAGAGCAAAATAAAGACTGTGGCTAATAACAGTGAAGCAAACAGAAAACGATACCAATGTAAGATATGCGGTGTGCTATTCGGGCGTTCAGCTATTCTAAGGAACCATAAGATGGTACATATCGATGAAAAAAATTACAAATGTGAGATATGCAATAAAGCATTCAAATGGTCCGGCAATCTGAAGAGACACAAATTGTCGCACGGAAACGTACGACCATTCAAATGTTATGTGTGCAATAAAACATTCAAATACTCCAGCGTTCTAAAGAGACACCAATCGACGGTCGAAAACGAACGACCATTCAAATGTCACGTGTGTAATGAAACATTCAAAGAATCTATCAATCTGAAGAGACACAAATTGACGCACGGAAATGAACGACCATGCAAATGTCATGTGTGCAATAAAACATTCATGGAGTTCAGCAAACTAAAGAGACACAAATTGACGCACGAAAATGAACGACCATACGAATGTTACGTGTGCAATAAAACATTCAAATACTCCAGCGTTCTGAAGAGACACCAATCAACGCACGAAAACGAACGACCATTCAAATGTGAAATATGTGGTGGGAATTTCACTCAGAAAGGTGATTTGATTAGACACATGAAAGTGTATAAAAGTTCGGATGAAAAGCTATATTCTACAGTAAGCTCCTTAATGATATCGATAGCAGATGATATCATTGATACAGAAATATTTGTAAAGGTAATAATCGGATTTGCAAAATTTTAAATTATAGCATTGTATTGGCTTAAGTTATATTTGTACTAATTAATTATTGCCGTTTGTGTTTTGCTCACTATTTCCCGATTGAATGTCAAATATGATTGATAAAGTTGCATGTGAAATTTTGAATTTCGAATTTCAACAACGGCTGAATCTATCTTTAACACAATAAAAGTAATAATAAGTATTGTTATTCCTATATGTAGTTTTAATGTTTATTGCTGTTATCAAGAAAGCAACAATATTTTTCCATCATTAACGATTGTAGACACTTATGATAGTGTGATCTTTCCTTTTATACTTTAATTATTTGAAGGAAAAGGAAGAGATCGAAAAAATTTATTGATATTATAAGAGAAGGCTACGATAAGTTACTCATTCAGTGACAACGAATGCTCCGATCCGAATAATACAATTTCTTCCATTGCAACATAACAACACATTACAGTTACATATAAACAATGTAATTCGTAATAATTTGCAATTGGTAATAATTAATTGCTTTTGCTAAATAAATTAACTTGGATGAAATTTACGTAACAGTTATGAATCAATGAAATCGCTCTGTAATAATTATTGTCGAATAAGGGAAAGTGTATGTAGAAGTTGTAATGCAGGCTGGGAATCAATCTGGGAATTTGTAGACTTTCTCACTCATTAGAAAGAAAGAGGAAAACAGAATTGGCAATAACGATTGCTTGGAATTTGGCATATATGAGAATTTAAAATTTCCTTTAATTTTTCATTCCATAGAAAAACACTTCTATTAATATTATTTCAATTCTAAGCCAAGAAAAACTGATAGTATCACTGATAGTAAACTGATATTATCATTACTTAAATAAAATTTATCATTCTCGTACTAATTACACTAACGTGCTTCAATTGTTAGAGAAATTAAAATATTTGATTGATTATACGGTATCATAATTACAATTGTGATTATAATTTCTCATCGTTAGAAATTAATATACAGCTGATATTACAAACATCAAATGAATTGGTGATTATATCTCCGATTATTATTATACTATACTATCAAATAATACGTTATGTTATGAATTATAAATTATATTTTATTATATTACATTATCAATTGGTATATTATTATTTTCCAATTGATATATTATTAATATAAAATTATTATAAAATATAAAATGCTAATTTAATATAAAATTGATAAATGTAATATAAGATTGATAAATAAATTTTGAAAAATTTATAGTTATCCAATGCTTGTTTTTTGTCTCAACAATAATTTTATATTTAGAACTTTTTCAATATTTCAAATTATACCTAAAAATGTTGAGCAACCACAATTTTCATCTGAAATTCATTCTACTGATAATGAAATGGTATAAATTCTTTCTTTTCTTTATTTCTTTGTTCGAATCAGAAATTTTTAAATAATATAAGAATTAATATCAAAAAATATCAAACAATCATTCAAAGATTTCGTTCACTTCCGATCACAACTAATACATTGTTTAATATGTTTATCAGTGCTGTTATAATTTATTTATATATTTTCCGAATTTTAATTTTAGTGAAATGGAAAAATATAGTAGCTTTCTTGATGCTAACAGCCAATATTCAAGTTTTCAAAATTTTATGTGCAATTTTATCAATCACTTTTTACATTCAATCAAGGAATAACAGGGAAGAACAAGTGGCAATAAAACAGTACAAATGTAATTTACGCCAACACAATACAATAATTTATAGTCCTGCGGATGTAATTATTTCCCTT